AGGGGGCCGGGGGGAGGGGGGTGTAGAGTTGAAATGTATGATTTGTTTAATGTAGAATCCAGTGCATTAGAAGTGACAGCAATTATCAAGAATGTCAAAAATATAAATTTCCCAAATGCCTAGGTTTTTGGAAAATTCCCCAAATATCCAGTCATTTGAGAAATTTCCAAAATTTTAAAAATACACCACTCTCAAATTTCCATAAGAATTTGAGAAATTTCGGGAATTTCCCAAATGCCTGGGTATCTGGGAAATTTCCCAAATGCCTAGGTTTTTGGGAAATTTATATTTTTGACATTTTTGATAATTGCTCTCCCTCCCTATATGCACTGGATAAAAATGTAAATGCTGGCCTGTCGGGTCATGCAGTGCATGTTAAAAAAATACAGTCCTGACAAGTGACAACAGGATTAAGAAGTATGGTTTGATAACACTCCATTATATTAATAGATAAAAGTAACGGAGCACGTTCTTAAAATATCTTAAAATTAATATTATCTTTTTGATTTTGAAGCTTGAGCTTACACATTCTAGATTTACTATAAGAATTTGTGCTGACAAGTGACGAACACTATATACAAAGGATACATTTGGAGAATAAAGGTACACAATTTAAAGTAAAAAAATGATAAAAGGACTTGAACGAAAACAAAAGAAGAAGAAAGAAAGAAAAGTAAAGAAAGAATAAACACAAAAAAGAAAAGTGAAGAAAAATGTTAATACTTATAAAACAACAAACAGAAAGTGCAATCAATGAGAGAAAAAAAAGAGCAAAGATGAAAAAGAATAAAAAGAAATATTCAAATCCAAACAAAAGTATTAACATGAGAAAAGTGAAATGAATATAAATTGTTACTTACAAAAAGTGCTTTTAAAATATTGAGAAAAAACACCGTAATAGAATTATGAAACGATTACAATTGTTTTTATTAGAATCCAATTTTTCATAACTTCATATGAACTTCAGTGGAAAAAATATAAAAAAAGAAAAAACTCCTTTAAAAAATTAAGAAGACAAAAATAGAAAATATTAAGAATAAGAAGAAAAAATTAGTATTAAAAGGAAACATGGTTTTATTATTATTGAGAAAGCTCTTGTATCTACCGGACTATTTGTTTTGTGTGTATATCACTATAGTGCCATTTGTTAATGAAATATTAATGAACAGTTGCAACAGAATCAGTTTCCTAGCGAGAATGGGTAAACTATCAATATTTTGTTTGTGTTTACAACTCTGTGTACTCCTGCAGATATGTACTGCAAGTGTAACTAATGTTAAGTACACAGTGGTTCTTGATAAGGTAAAACTCAAATTAAAAGTATTAAAACTAATTATTTTTCAATAACGATGTAACTTCTCATTTTTGCTAAAGAATAAACATTTTAGTTTGTTTATTCTATTCCTTACAAATAATAATTTATAAATAACTAGGCTTCTAGGGCGCTTTGCGCCCATCTTCTATTTCAATTGTTTACATTTTCTCTTTGTATACACAGAAAAATAAAAACAAACAAAAAGTTCGCGGATTTTATAAAAATATTCCGTGGATTTTCGAATTTAATCAAAATAGATTTTGTTGAAGGCAAATTTTCGAAATGTTGATGCTTCCCTTTGGTCATGTAAGGTCCCACACAAAATTTGGGCCGGAAGCAGATCTCCTATATGAAGATTGTGTAAGGGTTGAATGGTGAAAGGATATCAGGAATAAGATGATATCTCTTATATAAAGATTGTGTAGGGTTTACCTGGTGAAAGGATATCAGGAATTAGATGATATCTCTTATATAAAGATTGTGTAGGGTTTACCTGGTGAAGAGATATCAGGAATAAAGATGATATCTCTTATATAAAGATTGTGTAGGGTTTACCTGGTGAAGAGATATCAGGAATGAAGATGACATAACTTATATAATGTATGAAGATAGTGTAGGGGTTGACTGGTGAAGAGATATCAGGAATAAAGATAATATCTCCTATACTATGTATAAAGATTGTGTAGGGTTTACCTGGTGGAGAGATATCAGGAATAAAGATGATATCTCCTATATAAAGATTGTGTAGGGTTTACCTGGTGAAGAGCTGGCAGGAATGAAGAATGTAAGTATCAAGACTGGAACTACTACTGAGAGAATGGAATGTGCGTCTGCTTGTGCTACGGACAAGACAGGATGTTCAGGTTTAATTTGTTTATTCGTTTAAAATTTCGTCAATTTAGGTCTGAACAGTCGTTTCCGACTCAAGTTTTCCTATTCCTTTATCTAACCAAACTTATACTTAAACTTATAAAATACGTGATAGATCTTTGAACTTTGCTAAGAAAACAGAAAAAAAGTTAAATCAACGTAAATAAGGCCTAAATGTTATACATCTTACAGACTTAAACTTCAAAATGTAAGCAGCACAGTACTTCAATCAAGTTTACTGAAGAACGAACAAATACAATTTCGATAAGTTTTATAGCCAGTTAAGTGCAAAAAGATCCATAGATATTTTACAGGAACAAATCTACTGTGGAGTTTTTGAAGTGTATAATTTTCTTCTAGGTTTCCATATCTCCTCTGGATTTTGCTATTTCTTAACAGATGTTACTCAGCCAGCAGTATTCACTGATACTCCAGGCAGCAAAATATTCCTGGGCAGTATACTCAGTATCCTGTAGAATCCAGGAAACTATATTCCTGGGTAGTATGCTCAGTATCCTGTAGAATCCAGGAAACTATATTCCTGGGTAGTATTCTCAGTATCCTGTAGAATCCAGGAAACTATATTCCTGGGTAGTATGCTCAGTATCCTGTAGTATCCAGGAAAATATATTCCTGGGTAGGATACTCAGTATCCTGTAGTATCCAGGAAACTATATTCCTGGGTAGGATACTCAGTAGCCTGTATTATCCAGGAAACTACATTCCAGGGTAGGATACTCAGTTTCCTGTAGTATCCAGGAAACTATATTTCTGTACAACATTATACTAGTATGCAGAAAATCTTCACATTTCCTGTTACCTAACTCAATAAACGTGTTTTTTGGTTTATCAATAAATATAAAATAAAACATGCGGATGAGAGTACATTTTTTATAAATATTACTAGCTGAAGGGCCCGGCGTTGCCCGTGGAAAAAAATGTTGAAAAAAAAATTCAAAATTCGAAAAAAGAAAAAAAATTTGAATTTTTTTATCCTAAGACACTTCCCTGCCACCCGTGAGCGTCCACAAAAAAAATTCACCCCATTCGGTCCAAGCCGTTTGGCCGGCTATCGGTGACATACATTGAAATATGAATGTCTTGTTTTATTATATAGATGACTAGAGTAAAGTAAAGTAAAATATCCGTTAAAACGATTACCCGGGTAGAATCTTAGAGTCTGAAACCTAGTCTTAGACGCCGGGCCGACCTCCTCAGACCCTCTGTTTTTGGAAAAAAATATCAAATTTCACCAAATATATGTAATATGAGCAAAAACCATTAAAATATTTGAGCATTCCTC